CATTTTGCAGACAGATAAAGGGAGCAGCAAGATACATTATGAGATTATACTGAATGCAACGATGCATACAGAATACAGAAAGGAATTAGTCTTTTGATATACAGTGGTACCTCGGGATACGAACGCCTCTACTAACGAACTTTTCGGGATACGACCAGCTCCAGCCACAAAAATTTACCTCGATGTGCGAACTCCGCCTCGGGGTACGGCCATTTTTCCGCCCTGACACATGGTCCGTGGCCATTTTCCCGCCCCTGACACATGATCCGCGGCCATTTTCCCGCCCCTGACACGTGGTCCGCGGCTGCCAGAACGGATTAACGGTAATTACATTGAACCTTATGGGAAAATTTGCTTCGGGGTGTGACCAAATTCGGAGGGCGGAACAGATTAACCGGATTTACATTGAACTCTATGGGGAAATTTGCGTCGGGTTACGACCAACTCAGGATACGCCCAGAATCACGGAACGGATTAAGTTCGTATCCCGAGGTACCACTGTATATCAAAAGACTAATTCCTTTCTGTATTCTGTATGCATCGTTGCATTCAGTATAATCTCATAATGTATCTTGCTGCTCCCTTTATCTGTCTGCAAAATGTTTGGTTTTTTACTCTGACTCCTTTTCTGTTCCTGTTAGATCTTTGATTACTCATCATTTAAACAAAAGCATTTTCTCAGAAGTGCATGATCAGTCTCTGCAAGACCATTGAGAAGTTAGTACGCCTATAAAATTGGTACATGCTGTACTTCTAAAACAGTTTTTTTTAAAAACTTGAGAGCTTTGCTGTTTTATTATAAATGTCAAAATGATCAAGGGTTCTAATAAATCCATGGTATGCCATAGCCAGATAAGCACAAGATACTTTACCATTGAAGATATTATAGATATTGATTTGCAGCTGCACAGTATTAAACTTAATTGAATGAAGGTGATGAAACATCAACTAATTTCTGCAACTGTGAATCTCTGTGTATCTAAAGTCAACGTTATAGCTTCTAAAAAATGTAATACACACCCTTTTACCACTGAGTAAAGTACTATAAATTGCATTTGAGGGGTTATGGAATGGGAAGTTAAATAGATCAGTACACTGATTCTGGCTGTAGGTGAACTGAATGTATAGCACATTTTATCACCCTTGAGGACAGAAAGAGTTCTACTATATCTGTCAGATCTCATCTGATTTCCACTGGAGATATGTAAGAAGTCAAGAGGCATTCTGGTGATGATTCAGTACTTCTCAGAAGCATAGCAGTTTAAGAAGGGAAGACAGTCGCAGTACTGAAATCAGCTTTCCTGTTTGAACAAACATGCTTATAATTTTTTCTTATATAAAGAAAAAATTATAAGCATGTTTGTTCAAACAGGAAAGCTGATTTCAGGACTGTTTTTTCAAGAAATAATGCCAAGCCATCACCAAAATCAGATGCCATGTAAGTCAATAAAAAGCATCAGAGAGGTTTGAGCTAGATTTTATTTCACATTTTCTCTGTGCCATCCTCCTCCTTCAGAGACAACAGCAACTTTCTTGACCATGAAACCAACCAACCAATGCACAGTGCAATGCATTGCAACAGTGCTGCCAATTATCACTTTAAAATATATGACTCACTCAATGGATACCATGACGTTGGGCCTGCTTGATCAAGAAAAGATGGGATACTTCTAGATAAGGCTTTCATTGTGCAATTACCTTGCTTCATTACGAGAATAAAAAGGAGCCCATATCATCTCATTTTCCATTGATAAGTGTCCTGTATTTTTCCACTGTTTCTTCCATTTATTTTTCTTACTAGAAAAAAATCTATTAAGGAGGGAAAAGTGAAAGTGGCAGTCAACAGTTTGGAAGCATCCATGGATACAAGTCCAGTTGGTGGATAGGTCACAGAGGGACAGGTATTATACAGCTCTTATGAAAACCAGAGGGTCTATATGCCACAAAAGAGGATTTCCCTGATCTCCATTTCTCAGATCTCCCTCCAGGCCACTGTCCTTGGCAAGGGTTTTCTAGGATATATTCAAATTAGCCCAGTGAAACTGAAGTTATTCCATGTCAAACTGAAGGAACAGAGCTGACTAGAAGCATCTCATATACATGGCTAAAAGGGATGGCCTCTTCCAAAGAAATGAAATTCTCTCTCTAGAAGTAACTAAAGCTATGACCCGTGTCCCATCCAGCTACAGACTGGCACTCCAAATTCATTTCCAGATGAAATCAGATTCCAGATTTGAAATACCAGATATGGATTGCTGAACAATTACAATTCCTGATGCATTTTAACTCAACTGTGCATAGACAAATTTCAAAGTCACTGAAGCAGATATCCACAGATTCTTCCAGTGCTAGCTCCATCAGGGAAGAAGCCATACTACCTTTCCATGTTCTTGTTTTCCCCTTATTTCTGAACTCACAGGAAGGAACACAGCTCCTTAGTGTCCCCAAGGAAAAGGAATGGGTCATCAGTTTTATGATAAGTTGGGAAGTGCATTCATCTCCTTCAGGCTAGAACTGCCATCTAAAGTGGATTTAGTGGATTATAATCTTGCCAGAAATTCATGATGCTTTCAGTCTGTTCGCCGGATAAACCATATCTCATTGCGACGATTGGGTACACTAGGGTTCTGGTACGCAGCCACCAAGTATGTTTCATGGAGCACATTATCTGTTGAGCCCAATAACTCCCAAAGAAAGTGAATCTCTCTCAGGATTGTCTCCTCAGTAGCTGGCCCATAAAACTCCCTTTACAGAAAGTTAACAACAAAATAATTACCGATAAATATCTTGCGTTTAACATCTTGCTTCCCTCCCATCTACCCACCACTCACCTACCTATCCACCAATCCATCAATCAGTGCATGACTCCTACTCTTTTTAAAATATGGCCTAACAAGGAGCCGTTTTTTCCACAAGGTCCTTTCCCTTCTCCATTACATAACTAGGGGCATCTTTTTTTTACTTAGACCATCTTCCCAGTCATGCATACTCTTTCTCCTACCTAGAATGAGAACCAATCATCAATTCCTGTTCTACTTAAAAGGCTGTTGGCATCTAAAAGACAGCCAAATCCATTAGAACCCACCTGGTGATAACCTGAAGTGATGACCTTTCTAGGATTTGGATTTCTGGATCCATGGGGATAGGAGGATTAAGCTGAAATTCCTGAGGAACATAATATGCAGTAATGACTTCTTGGACCAATTCAGTACCCTCCTTATTCAGGTGGATCTCACTGATCACTGGCACTGTCATCCCCAAGTGTCGGCCTGGATAAAGATACAGGTAGAAATACCAGTTACGAAAGGTAAACCTAGGGAAATCCATTCCTTGCTTTTCCAAACCCCATTAATCCTGGTCATGTAAGCTTCTACATCTCCCCATGGCACTTGCCCGCACATACCTAGAGAATTCTCTTTGCAGATGTATCTTATAAGTTTCATGAAACCCATTGAGGTGCTCTGTTCATACTTGGGTTCTCCTTTGGTGATGCATGCCCATTTCCCAGCTGGGTATAGACGTTCCTCATATGTTGTTTCCTCACACTGAACCAAGAAGGAAAAGAAGTGATTTACTGCCAGGGGAAGAAATACCAGCAGTGTAATGAGTTTTTAAATCTGGATAATTATATTCTTGGAGTCAACTTTGATATCTTTATAAGTGATGTAACATTTCTGAAAATGTTGAAGTTATGGGAATAAAAGCTGTTTTTTCATATTTTTTCAAAGAAAAATAGAAATTTGGAGAAACATTTAACTAAATGTAATGTTAATATTCCTGTACGCTTTATTGATATAACTTTAAATGTTTGAAGTAAAATATTTTTGTGTTTGCATGCACATGTGTGCTTGTGTATATGTGTATTTATTCATTTTATTTTGCATATTATTAAATGTAAAATATATAATTATGCTTTCTAACTGAATTCATTTTAAAATGCTTTTTAATTTTGATCACTGTAAGTTGAAACTATAAGCTGTGGACCTGTAATCATATGTGAGAATGATCTTGGGAGACAGGGGGAAGAGCCACAGCCATGGGGATAGTTGGAAAAGAGGCAACTTAGCCTGCAAAAGGAATGTGAGCGTGGCAAATGTCTCAGAAGGGACCCTCGCTAGTTTCTTGGGCTGTAAAGGCAATAGGGGAGAAATGTATTTTCAGACTTGCAAGATTCTGTTAATGTAACCTTACAATAAAGTAGAATTAGCCCATCTGGTCATGCTTCCTGTTTGGACTACCTCAGAAGGCTGACATCAATCTTGCAAGTCTGAAAATACATTTCTCCCCCATCACCTTTACAGCCTTCTGTTTGCCATGCCCACATTCCTTTTGCGGGCTAAGCTGCCTCTTGTCTGACCGTTCCCCTGGCTGAGGCTCTTCCTCCTGTCTCTCAAGATCATTCCCACATACCATTACAGGACCTCTGAGTAACCTAGGAAGCCTTAATCTTTGCCAAGATGGGAGAAGATAATATTGAAGTCTGAAGAAACTAAATTATGGTACAACAGAGTTATAGTTTTGGCCTCAGACTCCTCAGGATGCTCACATTTTTAGAAAAAGAATAGAAGATAATAGGAAAAAGCCAACAGTCATTGCATAAAAATTTGCCTTTAAATATCAACTATTCAGATGTATTTTCTGAGTTATCATGACTATCAGCAGTTCCTGTTTTTTTCTGAGACTTAATTTTTATCCTCTTGATAGACATTTGATTCTGAAAACCAAAGGTTTGTTCATATTGAGACAAACTTTTTACTCTTACTTCAACAAATATAAACTTTTATATTTAAATAGTTCCTTTAATAAAACAATGTTATCTCTTAGGACTCCAGAAGCACACCTTCTCTGTAGAAGTGCCTGCCCTCTGGAACGAACTTCCCCCCAGATCTGGATGGCTCCGATTCTGCTGTTGTTCAGAAGAGCTGTGAAGAGCTGGCTCTTCACCCAGGCCTTTGGCGAGGGAGAGTGAGACCCCTTGCTTCATCGTGCTTGCCATCTTTTATCTTTATCATTTATCTTTTATTGATTTTATTGTAATGTTTTTGTTTGACTGTTCTGAGCCACCCAGAGTGGTTGAGAATTGGGCAGCATACAAGTTTAATAAATCATTATTATTACAGTGGTACCTCAGTTCACGAACGCTTCTGTTCACGAACAATTCGGTTCACGAACAGCTCTGGTCACAAAATTTTGCCTCCGTTCACGAACTCCGCATCGGGTGACGAACAGGAT